TCTCTGTTATTGGAACACATCTTCTGCAGCCCCAAGATGACTGAATCAAGGCACTTTTCTTTTTAATTAAAGCAAAAGGTGCTAAAATATTCCTGAATACTTCAAAAAACAAATTATATATATAAATTTAGCTGCACATTTGAGTCTATTTTCTCTGTAATATGATAGCATCCTCTCTACCCTCTCTCAACCTATATTTTCATTTCCCACCCACTCATTTGCTATGTAGGTATCAAATTATAAACAGACATGTCTAAGTCACAGACAAGTGATTTAAAAAAAAAAAAAAAAACTAACACCACAATGATACATTGAACTTGGTTCCCTCCTGAGGGACACCGGGAATGTGGATGAGGTTCATTCGTTTTTTGATTATAGTAAAAAAAAAAAAAAAAACCTAGCACAAAATTTACCATTTTTATGTAAAAAGCCTAATAATATAAAACATATCTCCATTGCTGTGAACCAAATCTCCAAAGCTTTTCCACTGTGCACAACAGAAATTCTATATACATTAAACAATGTCCCATTTCCCCCTTTCCCAGGGTTAGTACGTGGTAACCAACTTTCTATTTTTTATTTTTAAAACTTTTACATCTGTGTGTGTGTGTGTGTGTGTGTGTGTCGGCAGAAAGAAATGCCGACTAATGTTTCAGCTAATTTATTTTTATAAAAATCAGTCATAATTCAGAAACACGGTTTTCCTGAATGCCACAGTATGTAATGTTACTCAACTATAGAAGCAATCTGGAGAGTGATGGCCATTTTTTCTTATTAGAACTAGAAAGTGAATGTTAGAAAAAAAAACAAGACGCATTTAAATAGCTTTTCTTCTCAGTTTTGTTCCAATATAGCAAGAGTATAATTAGCTGAACAAGTTGGCTAACTCTGTAATACATGTCACCTCCTCGACTTGCAAACCTGAAGCAGTGACAAGTTTTGCAATAAAACCAAAAGTCTCTAATTCCTTAAAAACATACATTCAGAAAGAGGAAGTAAAAAAAAAAAAAAAGAAACTCTGATTTTCTCCCTTTCCCTCGAGGAATGTATATATAAAAGAAAGGTTAGAAATACATATATATTTTTAATTTAGAAAGTTAAGATGCCGCAATAATTAGAAGACGCTGCCTCTTCTCACCACCAAGTCATCACTTCCACACTATTAGACAGTTTCATGAGCCTGACTGCTCATTGCCATTTAATGATGCTGGAAAGAAGCCAGCATTTTTCTTGGGTTCTTTTGCCAAGAGGGAAAAAAATCCAAGAAGTTTCTTAAGGCAATGAAGCTACTCAATTGTTTTATTTCATTTTGCAGTATTCCTCTTTTTTTGTGAACATTCAAACAATGAATTATTTTCCTTCACACTACACCCAACTTTAAGGTTTCCAAGAGATAGAACTCTTGAATTTGCCCAAGTTCTTGCAAATGATTAAATATAAGATCTTCTCTGAAAGAAGTATCTTATTGCTTCCCTAAAAATGAATGCCTCAAGACTTGGCCCAGGATGTGTATTAACCAGATTAAAAAGAAAAAAAAAACTGATGCAGTTTAACATCAACAAACTGAAATCTGTAATAATCTATAATAACCTAATAAACCATTCATAGAAGTTCAGCAGAACCTTAATACGTCAATTAAGAGACAACAAAAAATGAATCCCCAAAGCTACAAAAATCTACTAAATAATCTGATAATATAATAACTATCACCTCTTAATCCCCAAACTTCTAATGTTCTTCCTGGAGTACTGTTTGCCAGCACTATATATATATCATGAACTATATATTATATAGCAATTTTAACTAGGCTGTTAACCAGATTAATGATTCTAAGGATATTTTTTACAATTTTTTAGCAGTTACATGTCTTAAATTATCCTTTGTTTGCACAAGTTGAAAAAAGTTAGCATATTATAGAGCTTTGAGTTTCTCCAGTTCACCTATTTTAAGTTCTGGTATTAACCAAAGCAATGATGTTTGTTCACCAGGAAACACTATCTATGCAGGTTCAAGTATCTATTTTTTAAATAGTCATTAATTCAAGGGTTAAGTGCATCCTAAATGAAAGACACTCTACTTGTCAGTGTTGGTGACACAAGATAGACAATTATTCCTGCCCTCATTCCATTTTCAATCTACTCTCATGTCAGATGTAACAGCTATGTCCACATGTCAGAGGGTAACGACTGTATTTTGAGTGATGTGTAAATCTAATTGATAAACACCCCAACACAATAAGGTCACATATGACAAACCCATAGCAAATATCACACCGAATGGGGAAATGTCAAAAGCTCTTCTTCTAAGAAAGAGCTGCAATGAAAAGAAGTGATACCACCGGTGACCAGTGACAAGTCTTACTTCCTCAAATGTTGAAGTTTGAACATTACAGAAGCTCTGAGGCAAGCATGTAAAACCGATTTTATTTAAAAAGTAGTAATACAGACTTCTCCTGGGAGGGAGAAGGTGCTATAGCTGGTATCCTGGTATTCCAAGAAGGGAGAGCATCCTGCCCCTTTTATATATTTTAGACTTTCTTTGTTCCCCTGCTCTCTTCCCCATTCTCCCTCTCCTCCCTGGTACATGACTAGGCCCAGGAGTTGCTGGTGGGATGGCTGAAAGGCGGGAAGAAAATGGGCATGGGGAAGAGCCAACTGGAGTGATCTGGACAGAAAGGGAGCAGCAGCCCAGGGGCATTAATTAGCAGCTCCCTGTCTGTTCAGGGGGTGCTTCAGTAACAACCTTCTGGGAGGTGTGGTATAGGCAGGTAAACTTGGTGATCAAAGTGCTCTGGAGAGATTAACACTCCCATCTTCTCAGACTCAAATTGGCCCCCATTTTCTCCATCCCACTTAATTGCCTCTCTACACTGACTGCCTGTCTTTAATTCTTGCTTCATAAGGATGGCTATTTCACCACTCTTTTTCCACACACAGCTGGAAGTCCTCGTCAGAGCAACAGGGTAAGAAGAGAAAGAAATAGAGGGTCCAAATTGGAAAGAAGGATGGTATGCATCTGGTTTGCAGATGGCATGATCTCATATGTAGAAAATCTAAAGGCTACCAAAAAATTGTAAAAACTAAAAAGAAAACAAACAAACAAACAAAAAATTCAGTTTAGTTGCAGGATACAAAATCAACATGTACAAACCAGTAGCATTCCTATGCACCAGAAAGAGAAATCAAGAAAACAATACATTTTCAATAGAAATGAGTAAAATAAAATAAAAAACTTTGGGATAAAGTTAATGAAGGAGATCAAAATCTCTACAATGAAAACTACAAAATGCCTCTCAAATAAATTAAAGAACACACACCACATACAAAAAAGGAAAGACATCTATGTTCATAGATAAATACTGTTAAAATGTCCAGGATAATCAGAGCAATTTACAGACTCAATACAATTATTATCCAAATCCCAATGTCATCCCTCGCAGAAATAGAAAAAAAAAATCCTAAGGTTCACATGTAACCATAAAAGTCCCCAAATGGCCAAAGAAACCCATGCAAAAAGAACAAAGATGAAAACATCAGAACAACTAACTTCAAATCATGTTACAAATCCTGTAGTAATCAAAACTGCAGGGCTGGGAATATAGTCCAGTGGTAGAGTGCTTGCCTAGCATGTGGAAGGCCGTAAATTCAATTCCTAGTATTGCAATAATAATAATAATAAGGAAGAATTTTAAAAAAAAATCACGATCCTAGCATAAAAATAGATGCATGATACATACACTAATGGAATGAAACAGAGAACCCAGAAATAAATCCACATATGCATAGCCAAATAATTTTGATTTTCAATGAATGTGCAAAGAACATACACTGAAGAAAGGACAGTCTCTTCAATAAATTATGCTGGGAAAACTGGATATCCTTATGGAGAAGAATGAAACTAAACCTCTACATCTCACCATATACAAAAAGTGAACTCAAAATATCAACTCAAAGACATAAGTGCAAACCCTTAAACTATGAAGCTACTAGAAGAAAACATAAAGGAAATACTCAAGACCTTGGTAGAGGGAAAGATGTTTTAGACAAGAGTTGCAAAGCACAGGCAAGTAGAACTATATCAAAATAAGAAGTTTTTGTGAAGGAAGGAAACAACAGATTGAAGACAGAAATTCTGTAGAATGGGAATAAAAATTGTAAACCATCCATCTGACAAGGGAATAATACATAGGATACATAAAGAATATAAAGAACTCATCAGCAAAAATATCTATTAATCCACTTAAAAATGGGCTAATGATATGAATAGACATCTCTAAAAGGAAATATGCAAATGGCAAAAAAAGTATATGAAAAAAATTCAACATTAATGATCAGAAAATGAAAATCAAAACTACAACAAATATTGTCTTACCCCAATTCCTATGGCTATTATCAAAAGGATTTTTAAAATGGTGACAAGGATTCAGATAAAGATGACTAATACACTGTGGGAATGTAAGTGAGTGTAGCCATAATGAAAAACAACACAAAGTTTTCTCAAAAAACTAGAAATACAACTACCATATAATACAGAAATCCCACTAATATGTATGTATCCAAGAAAAGAAAGTCAGTATACCAAAGAGGTAACTGAACTCCCGTGTTTATTGTAACACTATTCATATTAATCAAGATCTGGAATCAATCACATTGCCCATCAAAGGAGGGATGGGCAAAGAAAATGTGATACACTTAAACAGAATGTCATTAGGCTATAAGAAAGAATTAAATCCTGTCATTTGGGGCATAATGGATAGAACTGGATGATATTATGTTAAGTAAAATAAGCCAGGCATAGAAAAACAACTGCCTCAAAGCTTCATTCATGTGAGAGAGCTAAAAAAAAAAAAAAAAAAAACGATCTCATAAAGACAGAGGAATAGTGATTACCAGAGGTTGGGAAGGGTAGAACAGTAAGGAGAAGAGAGAAGGGTTTATTGATGTATACAAAAGTGTAGTTGATAGGATTGAGTCCTAGCATTTTATGCCATGGTAAGGTGGTGGCCCGTACGGGGATCGAACCCACGACCTTGGCGTTATCAGCACCAAGCTCTAACCAACTGAGCTAACCGGCCAGCTAATGAACCTTATGCTGAATTTGTAGATAGGCTTATTCAAACAGCTACCAGAGTTTTTGGGAATACAGAACAAGCAATGCCATTACTAAAACAACTGGCTTATGAGCAAGCGAATCATTGGTGCAGAGATATCATTAGACCATGGAAACATGAAGATTTAAACACATATATTAAATTATGTAGAGACATTAATGAACAAGAGCAAGTCGTGGCAGCTGCAGTAAAACAGGCTTTAGATGCCAGGTCAAGAACATGCTACAATTGTGAACAAACAGGACATTTTAAAAGGAATTGCCCCATAGGAGGAGGGTTTAACAAAACTAGGTATCAAAGGAGTAGAATACCAGGTATTTGCCCACGATGCCGTAGAGGGAGACATTGGGCTAATGAATGCCGTTCTCAAACCACCATAGAGGGTACTCCATTATCAAAAAAAGAACAAGGACCAGGTGTTTATCCACGATATCGTGGAGAAAGGCATCAGGCTCTGTTGCCAAAAAATGGACAGGGGGGCCCAATGCTCTGGGGCCCAAAGCCACAAATATACGGAGCACTGGAGGAACCCAGCAACCCCATCAGGGTAGTGCCCAGGACACATTGTCCATCAGATCCCTCATCAGACAAACCAGAGGGAGCACAGGGTTGGACATCTGCGCCTCCGCCAGAGCAGTACTAACTCCAGAGATGGGAGTTCAAATCATTCCCACAGGGGTGAAAGGACCTCTTCCCAAAGGAATAGTAGGCTTATTATTGGGACGCAGCTCTTCTACTCTAAAAGGACTTATGATAAGTCCTGGGGTAATTGATCCTGATTATGAAGGTGAAATAAAAATTATAGCCAGTTCTCCAAAGGGTATATCAGTAATTTCACCAGGAGATAGAATAGCACAGTTACTAATAATACCCAGCCTACATGATAAATTTTCCAGTCGTGCTGTAGAAAGAGGTTCCAAGGGATTAGGCTCCACAGGTGTAGATTGGGCTATGCTTTCTTTAAATTTAGATTCTCGCCCCATGCTAAAACTAAATATTCAAGGACATGAATTTAATGGACTACTGGATACAGGCGCAGACCTTAGCATCATCTCTCATCAAGAGTGGCCAAAACATTGGCCATTACAACAAGCCACTCAAACGCTTCGAGGCCTAGGAGTGGCGACTAATCCCCATAGAAGTGCAATGGTATTAGATTGGAAGGATCCTGAAGGATGTGAAGGAACTATACAGCCATATGTATTGGATCATATTCCCGTAAATTTATGGAGACGAGATGTCCTAGATCAATTAGGTTTGACATTAACAAATAACATCAATAAAAATGCACCCACTATTATGGCTAGACAAGATTTTAGGAAAGGAAAAAGATTAGAAAAACAAGAACAAGGTATAGCAGCACCAATACAAATAGATCAAGGAACAGACAGACATGGGTTGGATTTTCAGAAAGGGCCACTGAGACAATAAAAATTACTTGGAAATCAGAAAGACCAGTATGGGTTCCTCAGTGGCCCCTGACTAAAGAAAAGATACAAGCAGCCCATGACCTGGTCAAACAACAATTAGCGGAAGGACATATACAACCTTCTGTATCTCCCCATAATACTCCCATTTTTGTCATCAAAAAGAAATCTGGTAAATGGAGATTATTGCAAGATTTAAGAGCCATTAATAATGAGATGGTTATTATGGGACCTGCTCAATCAGGGATTCCTCAATTGTCTGCTTTGCCAAAAACCTGGTATGTTTTAGTTATAGATATTAAAGATTGTTTTTTTTCAATTCCAATTCATCCTGAGGATAGTCCACGTTTTGCATTTACTATCCCTGCACTGAATCATGAAGGTCCTGATCAGAGATATGAATGGAACGTACTCCCTCAAGGGATGGCTAACAGCCCAACTATGTGTCAAATTTATGTTAACAAAGTAATCCAGCCACTTAGAAATCAAAATCCTGAACTACAAATATTTCACTATATGGATGATGTATTATTAGCACACAAAGCTAAAAACACATTGCTAGAATGTTATGCCACAATTACAAACTTATTAAAAAAATATAATCTAGAGATAGCAATAGATAAAGTACAATTAAATTTTCCAATTAATTATTTAGGAGTTCTATTATCCTCAACCATGGTCCGTCCACCAAAAATTCAAATACGAGCAGATCAACTCAAATCACTTAATGACTTTCAAAAGTTATTAGGAGACATAAATTGGATAAGGCCTTATCTAGGTATACCAACAGGAGAGTTGGGACCTTCATTTGATATCCTAAAAGGTCCATCAGATCCAAATTCACCCCGAATGTTAACGCCTGAAGCAAGAAAGGCATTAAAAATCATTGAAACATATAGGGAAAATATGCATTTGGATAGAATTGATATAAGTTTGCCTTTATTATTTATTGTACTACCAACAAAAAATATTCCTACAGGAGTATTTTGGCAAGAAGGTCCATTATTATGGATACATTTATCTTATTCTCCTAACACTATTCTTACTAGGTATCCTGAGGCTGTAGGACAATTAATACTCAAAGGAATAAAAGCAGCAAAGGGAGTGTTTGGAATTTCTCCCAATAAAATTATTACTCCATATACTATGAATCAAATTGATGAGTTAGCTAATGAGTTAAATACTTGGGCAATAATCATGTGCAAATCTAATGTTTCATTTGATAACCACTTACCATCTAATCCTTTATTGTCTTTTTGGTTATTGCATCCTGTAATTTTTCCAAAAATGACAAGAAAAACACCTATCATGAATGCTCCAAATATATTCACTGATGGATCAAATAATGGTACAGCAGCAATAGTTACACCTGATCAAACTTTTACATTTTTAGTACCCAAACAATCAGCTCAAAAGGTAGAGCTTAATGCAGTATTACAAGCTTTTGTGATGTTTAAAGATTCTGTATTTAATTTATTTTCCGATAGTCAGTATATAGTTAACGCTATAGTATCCCTTGAAGATGCTGGTAGGATTTCCCCTTCCTCTACTGTTTTCTCTTTGCTCTCCACTATACAAAGTCTAATCTGGGACAGAAAAGATCCATTCTTTATAGGACATATCAGGGCACATACAGGATTGCCTGGAGCCCTTAGTTTGGGCAATGATTTAGCAGATAAAACTACACATGACATACATATTTTCTCTACACTAGAAGAAGCTATAAATTTTCATAAAAAGTTCCATGTCAATGCTAATACTTTACAAAAGCGTTTTAAAATAACTAAGGAACAAGCTAGACAAATAATAAAACAATGTCAAAATTGTGTGACCTTTTTACCACAAGTTAATCTTGGAGTCAATCCTAGAGGATTGATACCTAACCATATTTGGCAGATGGACGTCACACACTTGCCAGAATTTGGAAAATTAAAATATTTGCATGTTACAGTTGATACTTCTTCTGGATTTTTGATGGGCTCCCTTCATGCCGGAGAAAAAACTAAAGATGTTATAGCTCATTGCTTACAAAATTTTGCCACTGTGGGTGTTCCAAAACAGTTAAAAACAGATAATGCCCCTGGTTATACTTCTACCTCTTTTAAACAATTTTGCTCAACATTTGGCATTACTCATATAACAGGAATCCCATACAATCCTCAGGGACAAGGCATAGTTGAAAGAGCTCATCAAACTATTAAAATGTACTTATTAAAGCAAAAAGAAGGAATTGGGAAGGGGTATATATTCCCCAAAGATAAACTTAAAATAACCCTTTTTACTCTAAACTTTTTAAATTTGGATTCATCGGGACTTGGTGCTGCGGAAAGGCATATGTGTCCAAAAAATGTGCATAAGCCCAAGGTACTTTGGAAGGATATTCTAACAGGACAATGGAAAGGTCCTGACCCAGTAATTGTCTGGAGTCGGGGGTCTGTTTGTGTGTTTCCACAGGGAGAACAGCAGCCGATTTGGATTCTAGAGAGATTAACCAAGGTCCTGACCCAGTGATTGTCTGGAGTCGGGGGTCTGTTTATGTGTTTCCACAGGGAGAACAGCAGCCGATTTGGATTCCAGAAAGATTAACTAAAGCAATTTCTACAGACCAAAAAGAAGATGATTTGGCTCAAATCCATAACAACTGATATCCAAAACTCCAGTTTGGCTATTCTTACATCTGCAACAGAACCAGGATGCTTTTTTCAATATCTATTTTATTATTGCCCTTTGCCATATCATGAAGTTCTATTTTGTTTTTTGAGCTCTTACAGACCTAGGTTAATGTTTTGCTGATCAGTTCTATTTTTTTTGACTATAGAGTTTTTAAACATTGCAATGGAGATTTCACCTGTAAAAAGTTATAAGGCCTTTACTATAATGTTATGTGTTGTATGTATTATATTATGTGTGCACACTTGTGTTTTGTGTTATATGTTTGAATGTACGTATGTGCATATATCATATATGATGAGCGCTCATGATAAAATGGATCCAAATATTTTTTTTTCACGTGATTTATATGGTTTAATTTAAATTGGGTAAACAACTGTTGAGGATTGTTTTAATATGTAAACAAAAAAGAAGGTTAACAGATCTGTTTGTTTACTTTCACCTTTCCTTTTCATTATATTTAATAATTCTCTTAAAGACAATGTAAATTGTTAAGAAAATTTTTTTCTTTTAGTGCCTTCT